CCTTTTCAAATTCCAAATCAATCGTGCGTTAAACCACCAGTACTTCCTAGAGTTGTGGCCATTAACAAGCCACGATTTTAGGAAACGTACGGACCACTACACGAGCGCCCACATTCATCTGACTAGAAACGTTTCTACTCTATTTTTTCCACCGCCGATAGCAGGGCCAAGCACTGGTGGTTTAAATAGAGGTCCTCGCTCCACTACCCACCACCAAATGCACAAAATGAGAAAGAATCTTCAGGTAGAACATGCGAAGATGCACCGAAATATTTTTTGTCTGCTTCTTTTGTGCATGTGGCGAGTTAGTGGAGCGAGGCTCAGAGCCTCACTCCACCACTACTCGTTAAAACTGCGCTTTTTTTTTCCACAATCAGGCTCGCCTCACTCCACCACTACTCATTAAAACTGCGCTTTTTTTTTCCACAATCAGGCTCTGGTCCACTGGAGGCCTCAAACTCCTCCACTCACCCAATGTGCAACTTGAGAATGAATCTTCAGCTAGAACATAGAAAGATACACCCGCATGCTTTATTTTTTGTCTTTTGTGCATGTTGGATTAGTGGAGCGAGGGGGGAAAAACAAAAACAAAAAAAAAAAGTAGTAGTGGAGCGAGGGCCCAACTCTTGAATCAGATCCGGAACTCGAACGAAATTAATAATTATGATAGAGGGGTTGACAGCACAAGGTTTTTTTTTTTTTTTTTTTTTTTTCCTTTTCTTTTCTTTTCTTTTCGTTTTTACAGAACAAGTATTTCGTTGTCGAGAGGACTCGCAATAATGTGCGAAGTGGGATCATAGGTTTGTTTCCCTCTCTCCCACTGGGTGTGATAGAGGGGTTGACAGCACAATTTTTTTTTATTTTTTTTTATTTTTTTTATTTTTTTTTTAATAGAAGTTCATCATTTCATTTCTCATGGAAAAAGGAGGCCGGGAATTCCTCATAAACAACCCGGAAAGTACTGGGGCCCTTACCCAGCTTCRGCTTGTGCTGGAAACCGGGTCCAGCGTCCCTGACATTTCCCCAAAGAAACTTCTACCAAAAAACTCTTGAAGCACAGGCTGGTGTAACCAGCTCCTCTCAAATGTCCATACGAAAACAGAACCAAAGCTAGGTCTTTCCTACGTGGCCTAAGCCAGCCACTAAATCTCCTAGCTATATCAACAAGTTTTAGAAATTTGGAAATTTTAGCTACAGTCATCGTTCGTCTGTACTTCACATATCACCAGATACTTCTAGCTCATTATAGGTGAAGCCCATCCAGAGGCCACCTCGTCAGCGGGATCAACCACTTCTGAGTTTTTGCCATTTTTCATGTGGTTGTCTCTGCCTCGTCTTTGTCTTCGTTTTCATGATGGTCAGCCTTTTTCTCCAAGCAAAGGAGTGTCCCGCCATTCTTGCCAAAATGTGTCTCTCTCTCTCTCTCTCTCTCTCTCTCTCTCTCTCTCTCTCTCTCTCTCTCTCTCAGGTATATCTTGCCCTTTTTCGCCACGTTCACGCCTGAACAGCCCTGTTCTCTGTTTAATTTACTGACATTCGTTTTTATAGTCCTCATTGCATACTGAAACGGAGGAACTCTGACAGCTGTGTTTGGCTGTCTGGCATCAAACTCGTTTCCTTCTTTGGGCAATGAATGCATTTGGCCATCCACGTCGTCCCTGTCCATTTTACAAATGGTGACCTCCTGTCCCCTCACCACGGGGAGTATCCTTTTTCCACGGAGATGTTCACTCCGACTGTTCCAGACATGTTTCATTTCTCGGAGTTACGTTATAAAAAATAAGGAGAAAAGCTGTTTCTAGCATTTTTGTAAGTTCTTTTATTTCTTTTTTCGAATATTTTAATGTCGAAATGGCGTCACACCCTTGAGTTTTCTGAACTCAACAACCGTAGGTGGGACCAGACCTTTGCTTCTCCCTTTTCTTTTGCTTTAATTTTTTTTTTTTTTCCGCGATAGGATTATTTTTCCCCGATCGGATATTAACGCAATGAAAACCAGGACCCTTTTTTTCTTTTTTTAATAGGACAACTGGGGCCGAGTCCCACTAGCAGCGTTGAGCTACCTCAACACCTGAATGTGGACGCTTTTGCGGAGATGTGCAGAAATGGTGTCGAGTTTCCAGAACTGCACGTCTCCACAAACACGTCCAGATTCTGGCATTGCGGTAGCTCAACGGTGCTAGTGGGACTTGGCCCCTGAAGAATCCCATTCCGTAATTCTTAGAGCATAGACACACCAGGAACCTTTTTTTTTTTTTAATTAGGACATTTTCGACTGAGCCCTGAAGGAATTCGCGGTCAGATACATGCAGGTCAAGATCGGATTCGGGTCAGGTGCATCCAGGAAATCCCTAGTATGAACACGCCCTTACTCTATACGAGAGGAAGTTTGCAGAGGATTTTTGCAGTCTTCACCCTTCTTATTCTTTTTTTTTCCCGCTGTTCTTCTCGTAGAAAAACAAACAAAATTTCCGTTCCAAAAAAAAAAAAAAGAAGAAGAAAATTTCCGTTCCGTTATGTCGTCCCCTCTCTCCGCCTTTCACGTTTGGCTGCCTTTTTTTTTTTTTTTTTTTGAACGGAAATTTTGTTTGTTTTTCTACGAGAAGAACAGCGGGATAAAAAAAAGGAATAAGAAGGGTAGAATTCGGCTCCCGCTCCATTCTGTCGTCCCCTGTCTAAGCCTTTCTGTTTGGCTGCCCCCATCCTCTCTCCACCCCCCCCCCCCCCCCCCCCCCCCCCCCAAACAAAAAAAAAATCGTTTTTTTTTTTCTTTTTCCCGCGATTATAAGGGGTTACCACAGGATACGAGATAATAGTTTTTCTATGTCGTTGATCTGGTTACACAGGAATCCAAACTTTTTTTTTTTTTTTTTTGAGATGGGATAGGAACTCATCCTCTGCGTGCTAAGAACAGTATTCGTTTTTTTGTTTTCTTTTCTTCCCTTAAGGGGGAAGACAGAGAAGAATATAATAATATAATTAGAATCATATAATTATTAAAATCTATTATTACTACATATATCGTCACAAACAGAACTGCCCGGTAAAGCGTAGGCAGAGAGAGAGAAGAGGACAACAAACGAGGGGCTGTGACAAACTGTTTCGTCGGAGTTTCACCGACTCATCAGGATGTATAATATAGAATATAATAGATCTAAAATATATATTTTATTATACATTCTATAGAATTAAATTAAATTCAAATAACAGAAAGGTGCAACAAATAAAGAATAAATGGGCAATCCTGGATTTGAACGAGAAGCCCTAATAATTTTTGTGTGCCGTTGATCTGGTTCCAAAGGGATCCAAACATTCCTTTTTCTTTTTTTTTAGTTTTTGTTTTTCGAGATGGGATAGGAACTCATCCTCTGTGTGCTAAGAACAGTTTTATTTTTGTGTTTCTCTTCTTTTGTTTTTCCTTGAGGGGGAACCCCTTATGAGCCGTTGATCTGGTTCCAAAGGGATCCAAACTTTTTCTTTTTTTTTGAGATGGGATAGTAACTCATCCTCTGACAGTGTGTGCTAAAAACATTTTTCGTTTTTTTTTTTTTTTTTTTTTTTTTTCCCTGTGTCGTTGACCTGGTTCCACAGGGATCCACAGCGATTTTTATGTGTCGCTGATGGGGAACCCCTACTTATTTTTTCAGTCTCGTTGATCTGGTTCCACAGGGATCCAAACTTCTTTTTTTTTATTTCTTTTTTTTTTGAGATGGGATTGTACCTCATCCTCTGACAGTGTGTGATAAGAACAGTTTTCTTGTTTTTTGTCCTAAGCTTCTTTTTTACACCTAATATTTGTTTATGTGTCGTTGATCTGGTTCCACCGTTCCACAAGGATCCAAGCTTTTTTTTTTAATGCGATAATAACTCATCCTGTGTGTGATAAAAACAGTTTTCTTCTTTGTGTCCTCCTTCTTAACCCCTAATCATGTTTCTGTGTCGTTGATCTGGTTCCACTGGGATCCAAACTCTCTCTTTTTTTTTTTTCTCCCGAGATGCGATAGTAACTTGTCGTCTGTGTGCTAAAAGTAGTTGTGTTGTCCTTCGGGACATCCGTTAACTTTGGAAACTACACAGAGAAAGGACATACTATAGTAATACACAGCAAGCTCATCATTAAGATTGGCCAAAAAAAAAAAAAAAAAAAACAGATTGGCATGGCCCCTGCGCATTCAAGGATGGATGGCACGCATAATTGTTGGGGTTATCGGTACGAACGGATAACCCCACCGAGAACCCTCTTTCTTCCGGTTTTTTTTTTTTTTTTTTTTTTTTCCCCTTGCGTGATCGGTTCGCTAGTCGCGCAAGGCGGAACTGATGGGGTTCGTCGGAAACAGCAGTGGATGTGCTCAAATGGTGATTCGTATCAATCAATTTTGTTGATACGACTACGACTCGAGTCGCCGGGTGCGAGCTCATCATCATGATGAGCTTGCTGTGTATGTTATTTCTGCATAAGTAATACATGTCCTTGCGCAGGGGGGGCCATCGTAATCTTAAGTGCATCAGTAAAAGGGGGG